TATATATATATTATATATATATATATATATATATTGTCTATATTCGCTATTGATTCTTTTACTTATACCCGTTACTTGCAAATCACTCACACACTCATGCGCATGCACCTGCCTACAAATGTTCACGATATATACAACTAGCTCACTCGTTTGCAACCCTACATTCCTAACCCAACACAGCCTCAAGCCAAAAAGCTGGCCGTTCTCTCACGGAGAAAGAATCGGGAAAAGAACAGAGACGTCAGGGCGTCCGCTCGACACAACCTCGAACACGTGTTACTTGAGTTGGAGAATGCAGCCACCAACATGGCTGTGATGAAGGCAATGACAGGCGCAGTGCAGACCCATCAGGCCATACAAGGCGTGGATACGGCTGAGCACTACGGAAACGTTATGGATGATATAGCGGACGTTATGGATACGAACGTATGTGTGTGGTGGGGGGGGGTAGGAGTGATTACATATGATATGAATGTGTGTGTAGATATGTGATTTTATATGACATGAATGTGAGTGTAAGTTTGTGATTTTGTATGGTGTGAATGTGTGTGTGGATATGTGATTGTGTATTATATGAGTGTGTGGTTGGGTGTAGGTATCCGATGTTCCTCAATCAGCCACAGTGATATCTTTACCTTTTAAACCAATCAAATTCTTTATATTGTTTTCGTTTAACCCAATCAGAATGACATTGCCCTTCAAACCAATTAACTCCTTTGAATTTTTCTCATTTAACCCAATCAGAATGACATTTCGCAAGCGATGAGTTTGGATGTGAGTGCCGTTGATGCGGACGACGACGCACTGCTGGCAGAACTAGACGCACTGGAGAGCCACACAACTGAACCCAAACAGGTGAACACAGACAAACACAGCACACATATGTACATTACACTACACAACTGAACCCAAACAGGTGAACACAGACAAACACAGCACACACATGTACATCACACTACACAACTGAACCCAAACAGGTGAACACGGACAAACACAGCACACACATGTACATCACACATAGACACGTATGTATACGCACATATACACATTTACGTGAACACACACAAGAACACACTCACACGCGTTTATATATACTCATATATACATATATACATACATACATACATACATACGTACATACATACATAAAATATATATTTTATAAATATATATATATATATATATATATATATACCATTATATTATAGTGCATATACTTTATATCGGAACACATATACATCACATTATACAACATATACATCACATTGTAAAATATATACATAACATTATAAAATACATACATCACATTGTAAAATATATACATCACATTACAAAACATATACATCACATTATAAAACATAAACATCACATTATAAATCTAATACATCGCATTCTAAAACATATGCATCACATTATAAAACTTATACATCGCATTATTATCATATACATCACCATAAAAATCACAGCATTTATCATATACATCACAGCATTTATCATATACATCACATAAGAGAACGTATACGTCACATTATAAACATGCATGCACAGATACCTTACAGTAGAAACAGTTACGCAGAAATACAATGTCACACAACAAGTTATGCAGTCACACCTCCCAGTGCAAATACAGACAGACAATAACACACACCACAGTACACGCACCTACGCAGAAGTACAATGCCACACAACAAGTTATGCAGTCACACCTCCCAATGCAAATACAGACAGACAATAACATATACACCACAGTACACGCACTTGCGCAGAAGTACAATGCCACACAACAAGTTACGCAGTTACACCTCATAATGCAAACACAAACAAACAATGTCACACACGCCACAGTACACGCACATAGGCAGAAGTACAATGCCACACAACAAGTTATGCAGTCGCAGTTACACCTCACAATGCAAACACAAACAGACAATATCACACACACCACAGTACACGCACATACGCAGAAGTACAATGCCACACAACAGCAAGTTTTTAGGGTTTAGAGTTTTAGAAAAATTTGTGCAAGTTTATTGGCGCCCATTGCCTCGTCCATAGCGTTCCGAGTCTTATTGTCATTCGAATCTATTTTTGTTTCTAATTCACAGCGGGTAACAGAGCAGCACTACCGATATCCGAACATTCCCCAAACGAACCCAAACTTGTATGTACCATTGCATGTGCGTATGTGGTGATCTGTGACATTTCTCTGTGTATGCCTATGTATTTGGAGTATGAAGCGACTGCTGGATATGTACCTTCAATGGGAGTTGTGTTGACGAGTGGTTATATATGCATATTATTGGCCCAGTGCGTGTGTATATGCGTGTGTATATGTGTTGTTGATTGTATATAACGTACTATCGCCTTTGTGGTGTGCCATCAGGATGCTATATTGTCATGTACACATCTCCTCTGCGTAGATGTGTACCATTAAACCGTAACTGTAGTTCTGTCATATGTGTGCATTCCTGATCTATCGCCGCTTGAAGTGTGAGTAACCAGTACGTGGTTCTACTACTGTGTGCGTGCAACCTTGTCTGATAGGTGTCGAATTTGGCATGCTGAGCTATTTCGGGTACTGAGATTGAAATGGTATCTCAAGTGTATGTGTATATAGGTAAGCTGTGAATAGGAGGCTTGGATGGATACGTACATGTGTTGTGTTGTGTGTGTACTGTAAAAATCTCCATGAATAAACATAATGATCTCTACTTAATGTCTATGTATACTGACCTCGACATGGTATGTAGCACGAGTGCACTTACTCGGATGGATGTGTGCGTTCATAGTACTGCAGGATTCCGTCATCTAGAAACAACCGATCCGATTAAAACTCTGAAACCCTAAAACCCATAACATTATATCGTGTCAGTTGAGCTTCACCTGTGATGTTGTTCTGCGCACTCACATATCGGAGTGAGTCGTAAAAAGGAATGCATCTCAGCATAGCAGCGCTCTTGATCTCTTCATTTAGGGCTTCAATTGACCTGGGGTTTTTTGCACTTGGAATAGTTGCCATGTTGGGTTTAGGGTTTTAAATTGGCACACATATATATCTGATCCTTATTACGATATGGCTGTTATACTTACGCGTCACTGGTCCTCTCTACAGTCAAAGGGAGTCGCAAACAGCTCACACTCAAAGACACGCCGCAACATGAGGGTGAATGGAAGTATACCTCCAAAGGGCAACCAGAAAACAACTAGCGAGCACTTTCAACAAACATCAAACGAACACTAAAGATCATATAAATAAATATCAAACGATCATTAAAAAGAGTATTAAAAAAATGCACCTAAGGCCCCCACCTATGAAAACGACAGTGCAGCTTTCAAGGCACGTCGGCCCTTATTCTACTTCAATATTATACTTTAACGTTAAATGGCTTCGATCGTTTAGACTCGCCCTAATGAACACTCTCAATAAACATCAAACGAATAATAACGATTATAAAAACAAACGTCAAACGAAAATTAAAGAATAAAAAGGTAAGCATCAAACGAACACCAACAATTAC